ACACACACACACACACACACACACACACACACACACACACACACACACACAGACTCAGAGTCTCCCCATCTCACCCAGGCTAGAGGTACACTCAGGCCCTACCTTACTACGATCATTTAAGTAAGACCTTTCATCTGATTCATCTCCAACCTGCTCAGGCCCTCCTCTCCCCAGGCAGCCCAGCGGTCTCCTGCTCCCAGGGGCTCCCCATGTTGGTACAGACACCCGAGAGGCTTACGATGCAGCTCAGAACTCCAGAGCTCAAGCAATGCACCCACTGCAGCCTCTCCCGCAGCAGGGATTTCAGGTATGCCCTACCTCTCCTCTCCTCTGCCTCTCTCATGGAATGGGGGGGGGGGCCTGGGCCTGCAGGTACCCCCTTCTTCAAAAATCATTCCTAGAAATCTTCCCCTCAACTGTAACTTTCCCTACGCCCCATGCTACGTTCTAGGGCCATCCTGAGCTCTTCTCTTCCCCTATAGATTACAGCCTTCTTGAGGGCAGCCCCCCACCCCCTCCCCCCAAGTCCTAGCTCTCTTGTTGTCTAGTGCCTGAAAAAGTGCCTTCATTTTTTATTTTTATTTTTTGGTAATCTTTCTGCCCGTGAGACAAACCATCTTCTTGGCAGCCAGCCCAAGTGGGGGTGGGTGTTCTGTTTGTGCCTCCCCTCCCTGCTCCCCCGAGGCAAATCCTGCCTCAGGCACTTTCTAGTTGTGTGACCCTGGACAAGGCCCTTCAATTCTCTGGGCCTCAGTTTCCTCTTCCGTACAATGAGGGAAGTTGGATTTGATGGTCTCCAAAGTCCCTTATTGTTCAAATTTATGATTCTATAAAGGTATACACACCCACACACACACCCACCCCCATTCTCCCCACACATACTCCTCCTAGTCCCAAATATAAAATCAGTATTTTCCTGGTTTTAAACCATTTAACATTTAACATTTTGCAGAAGGAACATTCTTTAAAGAGCCATGATTTCATGCAGAGATGGCAGCATTGGTTTAATAACAAAAACCTCTGAACTTGGAGTTGGGAGAAACCCAGGTTCAAATCCTCTCCCCCCTCCCTCCTCACCTCCACCTTCCCCCTTCAAGACTGAGCTCATGACACACCCCCTACGTAGGCCCTACAGTTACTAGAGCTCCCTCACCCCCAAATTATTGTTTTGTTTTTTTATAGATGTTCAATATTGACTTATCTGGGTACATCATACATTGCACTACATCTCCAACCTTCTTGCCTTTGCACTGGCTGTTCCTCACACCAGGAATGCACTCCCCCCTTCCCTCTATCCCTTAAAATCCCTAGTTTCCTTCAAGGCTTAACTCAAGGCTGCTCCCGCCCCCTGCTGGTGCCTTTTTCCCAAAATCACCTCATATCAATTTTATATCTATACAGACATATAGACACTTCATCTCCCTTGGCTAAACTATAAACTCCTTGAGGGCCTCCCTGTTTTGACTCCTGTCTATACATCCCCAGTGCCTGGTACCTGGGATTTGGTGGGTGTTTAACAAATGCCTGTTAGTTCATTGATGCCTGTTTGTTCAAGTAAAAGGGCAGGGGCCCTCTCGCCATTGTACGCCCAACGCCTGGCAAGTAGAAAGCGTTTAATAAGTGCTGGTTGCATGAAAAAATGGATGCCGGACCAGAGGTTCTGGTTGGAGCCTCAGAGCAGAGAGCCCCTAACAAACCCCAGGTTAGTAAAGCGTTAAGGGGATTTAGTTTTGGGCAGCTCGGCATCACTTACGTCATGATCTGGGCCCGGAAGCCACTGTGGGAGAGAGAAAGGGAGAAAAAGGACACTGAGTCAGGGCTGGGCAAATGGCAGGGGCCTGGGTGGTGGTGGCGGGTCTCTAGGAAGGTGGGAGAGGCTGGAAGCCTGATTGTGGGCAGCAAGAGATTTGGGCCTGGGAGGATGAGGCAGTGGAACCTGCAGCTCTGGGGCAAACTAGCTCAAGGACCTTGGGCAAGTCACTCCCCTGCCCTGGGCCCCACGGATGCCTGCTGGCTGGATGACGTCTCAGCCCCCTCTTGGCTCTAAATCTAGGCTCCTAGGAGCTGGGGGGGGGGGAGCGGGGAGGACAGGGGGAGGCTGCCACTTCTAGTTTTCTGTGGGTAACACAGACCCTGTGCCCGGAAACAGCAGCTGTTGAGAAATGGGAAATTCCTGGACTGTTGTCCTGTTTTCATGAAAACAGGAAAGTGTGTGTTTCCGGGAGCCACTGACTCAAAGCCTCAGAAAAGCGTAACTCCCAGAGCAGAAACCCCACAGGCGTGTTCACACACACACACACACACACACACACACACACACACACACACACACACACAGCCACACACACCGTCCCCCTTCAAGGTCCTGAAAAATCTCATCTAAAAGAGGCAGCCAAGGGAGAATCATGATCTGAAGTCCCAAGACCTGGATTCAAATCCTGACTTGTGGGCAGGGCCTTAGGCAATCCACGTTTTTTTTGAGTGAGGGGGTTGGGGTAGATGGCCTGAGGCTCTATGATTTTCTCTGCTCTCTCTGGGAGTCTCTCAGCTCCCTCCCAGCTCCATGCCGGTAGAAGAGAGGAAGGGGTCTAAGTCTCCTGGGACCCGCCTAATCCTCAGCTCCCACTGACTTCTGGAACGCCCGGGCTGGGGTCCCTCTGCTCTACTCTCCACCTCAGATCCCTAAGCAAGGCCCCAGGGATGGAGGAGGGCTCAGCAGGGGGACAGGGGGTGCTTCTGGAGAGTTGCTGCTGGGGCAGGGCGGAAGGGGGAAGGAGCTGGCACCAGGTGAGGGGCAGCTGGGGGGCCTCCACTTACTTGGGGCCTCCACACTCGATCGCAGACACCTTCACCACGGGGAGTGCCTGCGAGGCCACGGGCTCGATGGTCAGGGTGTTTTCCTCCACAGCCGTCTGAACCAGCTCGGAAAGCTAAAGCAAAGCCCAGGATGAGCCGTCAGTGGGGGAGAGGGGGAGGCAGGGAGAGAGTCCCCCCCACACACACTCCTAACCCTCCCCCCCAGCCAGGGGCCCTGGTTCCCCTCCCCTACCTCACCTCTTGTTTGGTGAAATTCAGACAAGGGCCCACATCCTCCCGGTAAATCCTCTCCAGGAAGGGGCAGCTCTTGTCCAGGGTGGGGGCCTCCTTCCAGGCCTGGAATTCAGCAAACAGGATGGTGTCCACCTGAAAGGGGCCCAGATGGGTTGGGGTGAGGGACAGCCCAGCACACGGGGCAGGGCGGGGATGGAGGACGATGGCCTGGGCTCCTCTGGCCAGGGCCCTGCAGGGGACACATCTGGAGTAGCAGCAGCAGCAGTGTAAGAGGGGCTCAAGCAATATTGGGGGGTGGGGCGTCTCAGAGCCCTCCAACAACTCGCTGGCAGCTCAGCCCTGAGTCCCACGTTCTAGCCCCACTCCCCCTCCTCCCCTAGAAGAGTCAAGGGTCACCACAATCTGCAGAGATGTCCCAGGAAGATTCTCCGATCACATCAATACTGTGTCTCCCCGCCTCTACCACCAGACTTTAAACCCATTTAAAACCCGAAGTACACCTCATGCCTCTTCTGGTCATTAGAACTCACAAGTGAGAGAAATAATCCCAAAGGTCAGAAGAAAAAATGTTGCAGCACCCGGGATCCGCTCACCCACAGGGTGATGAGGACCCAGAGAGAAGGGGGTTTAATGGGAGGAATCTGATCCTTTGACTTCCAGAGAGTTTCCCTAGAAAGCCAGCCTGTCCCTCCAGGGCACAGAGAAAACTGGGTGCCTCTGACCGCCCCCTAAGGAGGCCACCAGAGAGAATGGCCCCAACATGCTGGGCTGCTGCTGCTCCCTGCAGGGAGTGGGGGCACAGGGGAACCCCGACGGGGACTGACTGAGGAGCCCGCCCTCCCTGGGGCTGTTACCTGCCAAGAAGAGGAAGAAGAGGAGGAGGAAGAGGAGGAGGAGGAGAAGGAGGAAGGAGACTCCGAGGCCAGGGTCTGCCAGCCCGGCTCATAAGTGATGTGGATGGCTTTCCCAGGGACGATACATAGGAGCAAGGAGAGGAGGGTGGGCACCTCAGGCTGGGCAGGAGCAGAGAGAGAGAGAGAGAGAGAGAAGGAAAGAGCAGGAAAAGGCAGGGACAGACACAGAGAACAACGGAGATTAGTGTCTTCGCTTGGCAGCGGGGACCATACTACCCTCCTCCATCCTGGTTTGCCTGGGAAGCCCTGGAGGTTTTCAAAATGTGTCAGTCCCTCTACCCACCTCTCCCCTGGGGGCACAATGCCCACTTCTGCCGAGAGGGAACGAGCATGGCGGCCTGGAAGGTCAGAGCTGGAAGGGAGCCGATCAAGCCCAGTGTCCTGCTGCGCCTGGGGACCCTGCTCAAGCCGAGCACCCAGATTCCCAAGCCAAAGGTCTCCCAGCCAAGGGAAATCAGCGGACGTCGTGGAAAGAACACTGAATCTGGGGTGGCGTATCGGGATACCCCGTTTTGAATCTAATGCTTAACTAGCTCTGTGACCCCAGGCAAGTCGCTTAGCTCTGGTCTCCCCTCCAGACTGGCTGCCCTGCTGCCCCAGGCTGCTCCTCAGACTATCTTGTCTCTGTTTATCTGTGGTCGCTGTAACCCCACAGCAAAGCATAAGCTCCCTGAAGGCAGGGACAACTTCATTTCTAGCTTTGTGTCCACAGTAGGAGTTAATAAATGTCTTGAATCCATCTTTTGAACTTGTCATAAATGCACCGGACTGTGGGTGTGTTTTCCTGGGTAGTCATGGTTGAGGATAAATCCCACCATCGGGTGAAGGCTGGAGATGACGGGGAGGGAGGCTGTGGGCAGATCCGGAGCATCCTCAGACAGGAAGGCACCGCCTTGGGAATGCCATTCCATGACTGGCATGACTTCTAGTCTCTACTGCAATGGGCTTCTTTTCAGGGGTCCTAGAACCTCCAAACCCTGTCCGAGTGGGGAGGGTGCTAAGCCAGTTCAACCGTCACTGTCTGAAGTGTGCCACCTTTCAATGCTAAGGGTCCCCAGCCTGGCGACTGAGCCTTGTTTCCTGAGCAACAGCAGTGATGGTCAGGGATCCTGGGTTTACATCCGGTGTGACCTCAAAGCAAGTCAATGGCCTTCTCTGGGCCTTCGTCCCCTTTTAGAGAGAAAGCATGGCACAGTGGAAAGCGAACTGGATGTGGGCTCAGAAGCCTGTGGTCAAATCCTAGCTCTGCTACTTACCCCTCAGTGTAAGTACTTAGTAAGAACTTGGGCCACTCCCTTCCCCACTCTGAGCCTCAGTTTCCCCATCTATTAGTGAAATTGGACTGGATGACTTCTGGGGTCCCTCATTGCTCCCAAATCCCTGTGGGGCTGAACGAGGTGGGCTCACTGAACCAGACATTCTGAACTGGGAAGGGACCTGGGAGGCCATCTGTCGTAGCTTCTCACTTTTTACAGGGAAGGAAACTGAGACCCAGAGAGTGACTTCCCCAAGACAGGGAGCCAGGACCGAAACCCACTTTCTCTGACGCTTTCCCATCCGGCTCGAAAGCAAAGGAGCCCGTGGAAATTTTGGTTGGCTGGCTAAGTGACCCTTGGTCTCTCGGTCTCTCTCCATCCTCCAGCTTCTGCCCGCTGTGGCGGGTCCAGAGAGCCAGCGGCACACACCCAGGCCGACGGGCGGAATCTCTAACCTCCACGACACCCTCCAGCCCTACCTCTCTGCTCTCGTGGCCGACGGGCTCAAAGGAGATGCTGTGTCCGGTGGCCGGGCAGACAGCCGGGCAGAGGGTGCCGCTGGAGCTCTTGTTGCGAGTATGTCCCTTGCGGAACATGGCCTTGGACGGGCTCAGGAGCTGGGGGTGAAGCTCTCGATTGGGTGAAGACGGGGTGGAAGTGATCACCAGGGCCTTCAGGGCTGTGACCTCTGCTTGCAGCATGTCAATCTGGCCAAAGGAAGGGCAAAGGTCAGTGGCTGTGCCTGCCTGCCTGCCTCCCTAGCCCAGAGCCCCAAGACAGAGAAAACGCTCAGTATCCTTGGGCCTCCAAGGCCATCTTGTCCATTTTACAGAGAAGGAAACTGAGGCCGGGGGAGGGTAAGAAGAGGAGAGATTGGAGAAGACAAAGAAATGAGGAATATCTCCCATCACCCCACCATCATAAAATCACAGAATTTTAAGAGAGACGTGAACAGTCACTGAATCCAACCCAAACCTGAAAAAGAATTCCCATTACATCCTGACCAGTAAGGGGAAATCCAGGCTCTGCACGAAGACCTCCAATGATGGGGAGCCTTCCACTTTGGGACAGTTCGCACTGTGAGCGGGTCAAGCCTAAATTCCACCCGCGGCTCTTGATTCTCCCCTCTGGGTCCAAGCAGGCCTAACCTAGTTCTTCTCCCATATTCCAGCCCTTCAGATACTGGAAGACAGTTGTCATCCCTCCCCACCCCCACCTTCCCTTCTTCAGGCTGGACATCCCCAGTGGAAGGAATGGACAAACAGCCTTCCACTATTCTGGTTGCTGGTCACTGTCCTTTCCAAAATGGCATACCCAGAACAAAACACCTTCCTGCAGTCCCAGCTGGGGGATTCCCTTCAGTCAAGCACCTGGACACTGGGTTCCTCAGCTCGGATCTGTCGCAGACTTTATAGGGACAGTGAAAACTCAGTAACGTTCGGACTCTCCCCCACCCTTGGCCTCTAGGGGTCATCCCAGATACCGAGATCTCCTAAAGAGTCTTGGAAAAGAATATTGCCACATCCTCAGACGCAGAGGCTCTTCTCAGAGACTGGGACAAATCCTCTCCTCACCACCTCCACACCGATATGGAGCCGCTGCCGCTGCTGATGCCCGCCTCGCCTGTGCCCAGAGTCTGCTGGCAGCTCAGGAAGGAGGGCCAGTTCCCTCAGAGATGATCACAGACTTCGAACTGGAAAGGACCTTCAACAAGGCCATCTAGACCAGTTCCTTATCACGGCTGTGGAAGCAGTGTCAGAGAAGCGCCTTGCCCAAGGTCGACACAGGTACCAATCCCAGGTCCTCCAAAATCTGTACTCAAAACTACACAGGACCTCCTCTCCTGGAGGACGGGGATAGCTTTTACTACAGAGATGGTTACACTGAGCAAAAATATTGCCTGGGAAGGTGAGCTGACGATGCCGGGGAAGGGCGAAATAAGGTGGTCCGACCAAAAGCTGCCAGCATAGAATGGGAGTCCTGGGAGAGGGTTTTAGAACACAGAACATGGTACAACACCCATTCCTATGAAAAATACTAGAGAGCATAGGAATAGATGGAGTCTTCCTTAAAATGATAGATATCAAAAACCATCAGCAAGCAGCATATGTAATGGGGATAAGCTAGAAGCATTTCCATTAAGATCGGGGAGAAAGGGGCAGCGAGGTGGTGCAGGAGGACCTGAGTTCAAATCTGGCTTCAGACACTTGACACTTACTATCTGTGTGACCCTGGGCAAGTCACTTAACCCCAAGATTGCCTCACTCCCCCCAAAAAATCACTATTTAACAAAAACTGCTGGGAAAACTGGAAAATAGTATGGCAGAAATGGGACATAGACCAACATCTTACACCTTATACCAAGATAAAGTCAAAATGGCTACAGGATTTAGATATGAAGACTGATACTATAAGTAAACTAGAAGAGCAAGGAATAGTTTACCTTTCAGATTTATGGGGAAGGGAAGAATTTGTGGCCAAACAAGGGATAGAGAACATTAGGAAATGCAAAATGGATAATTTTGATTATGTTAAATTGAAAAGGTTTTGCACAAACAAAGCCAACGCATCCAAGTTTAGGAGGGAAGCAGAAAACTGGGAAAGAATTTTTACAACCAGTGTCTCTGATAAGGGCTTCATTTCTAAAATATATAAAGAACTAAGTAGAATTTATAAGAATACAAGTCATTCCCCAATCGATAACGAAGGATATGAACAGGTAGTTTTCAAAGGAAGAAACTAAAGCTATCTATAGTCATTTGAAAAAAAGTTCTAAATCACTATTGATTAGAGAAATCAAAATCAAAACAACTCTGAGGTACTACATCACACCTATCAGATGGCTACCATGACAAAACAGGACAATGATAAACGTCGGAGAAGATACTAATGCATTGTTGGTGGAGTTGTGAACTGATCCAACCATTCTGATTGGAGAGCAACTTGGAACTAAGCCCAAAGGGCTATAAAAATGTGCACACCCTTTGACCCAGCAATAGCACTTCTAGGTCTGTATCCCAAAGAGGTCATACAAATGGGAAAAGGACCCACACGTACAAAAATATTTATAGCAGCTGTTTCTGTGGTAGCAAAGAATTGGAAATTGAGGGGATGCCCATCCATTGGGGAATGGCTGAACAAGTTGTGGTATATGAATGTAATGGAATACTATTGCTCTATAAGAAATGATGAGCAGGCAGACTTCAGAAAAACCTGGAAAGACTCATATGGACTGATGCTGAGTGAAGTGAGCAGAACCAGGAGAGCATTGTACACAGTAACAGCCACGTTGTGCGATGACTGACGTGGATAGACTTAGCTCTTCTCAGCAATGCAAGGACCTAAGACAACTCCAAAAGACTCGAGATGGAAAATGCCGTCCACATCCAGAGAAAGAACCGTGGAGTCTGAATGCAGATGGAAGCAGACTATTTGCTCTCCTCTTCCTTTGTTGTTTTGTCTCATTGCTTCATTCTTGTGGTTCCTCTCATTAGTTCTAATGGTTCTTTACATCATGACTAATGGGAAAATATGCTTAATGTGAATGTATAAGTATATCAGATTGCGTGCCATCTTGGAGGGGAAGAAAATGTGAAACTCAAAATCTTATGGAAGTGAATGTTGAAAACTAAAAATAAATTAGTTATTAAAAAAAAAAGAAGAGAGAACACGGAAGGTCAGAACCAGGAGGAAACTTTAAAGATCATCTCATCCTATCCCTTCATTTGACAAATAAGGAAACTGAGGTCCAAAGGAGAAGAGGCTTTCTCCAGCTCACAGTGACATCGGGGCATTGGGGAAGACAGTGGGACCTGCTGAATGGACGCAGCAGGGACAGAATTTCCGTAGCGGGTGGGTAAAGGGGCAAGGAAGGAAACCGAGATGTCTCACCTTCCCTCGGGCCTCCACCAGCTGCTTCTCGGATGCTGCCTGCTTTGTGTTGGCTTCTCTCACCATCTTGTGCGCTTCCTGTGAAGGGAAGGACGGCCCAGTGGTCACCCAGAGACCCAAGCTCTATCTGAGGGACTTCTTCCTGTGACCCGGCGCCATGTTGGGATGAGACACTCACCCGGTGTTGGGCCTGCCTCAGCCCCCGTGGAAGGTCACCTGCTCAGGAAGAAGCGTCTCATCCCCGAGCCCCCCAGTGCTGGGCAGTCACAGAAACTCTGAGTGGGATGGAATCTTAGAGAGGACCTAGTCCGACCACTCTGTCCTTGCCCCACGTATTACAGAGGAGGAAACTGAGGCTTAGAGAGGTAGTTAACCCACTGACAGCAACCTAGTCCGACCACTCTGTCCTTGCCCCACATATTACAGAGGAGGAAACTGAGGCTTAGAGAGGCTAGTTAACCCACTCACAGCAATTTGAACTCAGGGCCTCTGACCACACACCCACTGTCTGTCTGGCAATACCACATGGCCCTTTTGTCAATGACAGGCCTCAGGGTCTCTGGGTTGTGAGGGACAGCTCCTAGCTGAACTAAGAATCCCCTCTCCCATGTGCCCACCAAGTCGTCATCCAGCTTGGACTTGAAGCCCTCCAGGGATGGGGAGCTCACTACCTCCTTTGTTGAGCCTTGATCCCAGGGCCAAGCGGACCGAGCAAGCCTACCTGTCCTTCCACGTGACAGTCCTCTGAATCCTCGCAGACCCCCATGAGCCTCCCCTTCTCTGAGATAAACATCTCAGCTAATCTACCCACGGCACATTCTCCAGGCCCTTCACCACATCCTGGTGGCCCTCCTCTGGACACTTTCACCGCCCCTGCTGAAACAAAGACTCCCAAATGAGACACACTACTCTAGCTCTCGTGGGCCGGGGCCGTGGCCTCCTTGGTTCTGGACGCTACACCACTCAATGCAGCCTAAGGTTTGGGTTTCCACAAAAGCTGTTGACTCACCGAGCTAACAGTGTCAAAACACTCAGAGCTTTCACAGTCGAAACTCTCCCCCATCTTTTCTGTGTGGCATTGACTTTTTGAGCCCAAGCTTAAGTCTTTACATTTCTCTCTATTAAAATCACCTTTACAGTCAGCTCAACACTATAATCCTTTGAGATATTTTCAGATCCTGACCAGTCAATGTCCAGCTGGCTCTCCCTCACCCAACTTCAAGTCATCTGCAAATTTGATAAGCATGCTTTCCTTCATCCACATTATCAGTCAAAGTCATACTGAATAGCACAGGCCCAAAGGCAGACCCCTGGGGCACACCAATCGAGGGGAGGGAAGGAGCAGAGAATAAACATTTATACAATGCCTAGGATGAGCCAGGCACTGCACTAAGCACTTTTTTTTATATAAATTTTATCTCCTTTTACCCTCACAACAACCCTGCAAGGTGCTATTATTATCCCCATTTTACAGTAGGGAAAACAGAGGCAAACAGAGTTTAAGAGACTTGCCTAGATCTTGCCTGTTCTTACACAAGCTCAACACATTTCTGTGTTATCCCCCTTCCTTTCCCACCTCACACATTCCTACCCTTCATACATTCTCTCTTTTGTGATACTCTCATCTCCCACTTCCACACCTTTGCACTGATGGTCCCACCTGCCTGGAGCACACTCACTCCCGCCTCACCTTCCCCTCTCAGAATTCCTATTTTCCTTCAAAGTTCAGTTCCAACGCCATGTCCTGCAGAAGGCCTTTCTTGATTCCAGTAGCCCCAAGCGGCCAGTGTTTCCCCCATAATGACTTTGTACGTATGTGCAGACTGAGAATATCGTTCATGTTCTAAGGCCTGGCCCTCACCGGCCGATCCCCATTATCCATCTGCATCTTACGTATGGGCACATGGTCTCTCCCGTGGAAGGTAAGCTCCTTAAGGGCACTTTTGTCTGTGTATTTCCAGTGCCTGGTATACAGTAAGCACCTAATAAATGCTGCTTGACTAGGTCTCCTTTCCCTTATTGGATTGTAAGATCCAGACCCAGGAGGGATCTGACTACTCCTGCTCTGGTCTCTCCAACGGGAGAGGCCAGCATTGAGACCAGGACCTCAGCAGGTATTTAATAAAGACTTGCTGAGGGAGAAAGGAGTCATCCTCAGGGTAGATTGGACTGGACCGGACCTGGAACCTCACGCCCACGTGAGGAAACGCTGTCACTGTCTACCCGAACCAACATTTTCTCTGTAACTTACAGCCTTAGAGATTTGTTGGGCAGAACTCTGAAAAGTTAAGTGACTTGTCTAGGGTCATACAGTCAGTACATGTCGGGGGGGAGACTTGAACCACAGCGTCTTGACTCCCAAGTGGATGCTTTATCCATTATACTACACTGTCTCATGACTGACACCCCAGCTCTATCCCCACCCCCATCCCCAACCTGCCAGAAACACCTTCCCAGTAATACACGGCACCACACTGGCATCTGCTCTGGGCACCAAGTGTCCATCGGCTCCTGGGGGCAGGGCTGGGGCCAGGCTGTTTTCCAGGGATAGTACCCAGCACGATGCCATCTCATGATGACGCTAAGAGCCCCCAGACCTCGTGGGACCTGTTCACCGCTTTGGCGCCTCCAATGAGGCACTGCCTTACCTCAAATAGGCTGGCGGTCAGCTCCTCCAGCTCCTGCTCCAGCTGCTCTCGGACCTTGGACAACCTCTCACACTCTTCATCCTTCAGCTTCAGCTCCTGGGGAGACCAGAGGGGTGGGCCACCCCCGACTGTTCTCAGAGAGCCAGCCGCCAAGCCTCCTCACCAACACACCCTCTAGCATCACGCCCCTCTAAAATCCACCCAGACCAGTCTACAGCAGAGGAGGTTAGGTTAACCGTGGGAGGATCAATAAACCAGCCTCTGCGCCATCATGAGGAAGCCACTTGAGATTTGGGGGGGGGGGGGGGGGGGGAGATTCTCCTTTAGACTCACCCCTTCTCTGATCCAGACCCCGGGTCTTCAGCAGAGGGGACCAGAGGGTTGTTCTGCTTGGCCCCTGAGGGAAGGGAGGATTCTCGCCCAGTGAAAGCGATCCCAAAGTGGGTGGCCTCGGGAGGTGGTGAGCTCCCTGTCCCCAGAGGCCTTCGAGCAGAGGACTGATGACCAACCCAACCACTTGTTGGGAGAAGGAAGGGAAGACTCCTGTTTGGGTACAGGTCAGACTCTCTGCCTTCTGGGGTCTGAGCCATTCACGGGCATGATAACAAAAGCAACAGCTGACCGTGGGGTCGGGCACTTCCTCACAACAACCCTGTGAGGTAGGTGCTATAATATTCCCATTTTTTCAGATGAGGAAACTGAGGCTGACAAAGGCTAAGTGACTTGCCCAGAGTCACCCAGCTAGTAAGTGTCACGAGCTCAGTTTTCCTGATGCCCGGGTCAGCATTTTATCTCCTACATCCTATAAATGCCTCAGTATTACCTTTGGACCACATTAATACCATTTGTGACAGTGGTCTTTTTGCCTTCGTGCCTACCCTGGGGACCACCTGTAATATTCTATAAGGAGAGGTTTGCCCAGGGCTGGCAGCCCCCACATGACAGATTATTTTTTCAACCTGGGGTCTGCGAACTCATTAAAAAAAAGTATTGGTAGCTACATCTCAATATAATTGGTTTCCTTTGGAATCCTGAGTATTTTATTTTATGCATATAAAAACATGATTTGAGGAAGGGTCCAAAGATCTCACTGGCCTCTGCGGCCACCTCCAATCTATCCTGCTCTCTCTCTCTCTCTCTCTCTCTCTCCCTCTTTCTCTCTCGGCTGTAATGGTCCTTAGCACCTTGTCTCTCCATGTAGACTGGAAGCCCCTTGAGGGCAGGGGCTGTTTTTGCCTTTCTTTGTATTCCCAGTGCCCGGCACAGAGTAGGTGCTTCCCAAATGCTTGTCCATTTAGCTTGACCAGACTGCCAAAGGGCCCATGACATGACCCCTGCTTTGGACTGTGAGCTCCACAAGGCCGGGTCCTGCCCTGTCTTTCGGGGTGCAGCGCCTGGTACGTTTGATTGCCCCACAACCTGCATCACCAACCCCAGCATTCTACGCCCTCGCCCCCACTGAGGGAGTGTCCGCACCTCCCGCCTGCATCCAGGTCCCCCGGTACCTTCTGAGCCTTTCTCAGCTCTTCCTTCAGGAACTCAGAGCCCTTCTCCCGAATCTCCACGGAGGAGCTGCGCAGGCGGGAGACGTCCAGGGGGTTGGCCGCGAGGGCCTCCTCTCCTCGGCCGCCCTCCCCGCAGGGAGGCTCCAGCAGCGGGGAGTCCTTCCTTCCTCTGCAGGGGGACGAGCTTTTCCACGAGCCGGTCACAGGGGATGGCGGTCCCCCTTCTTCTGCCTGGGGCTGGCTGCAGGAGAGACACAGGGGTCAGCAAGAAGCCAGCATCCCCCAGCGAGGCAGCCTGTCAGCCTTTGCTGGAAGGAGCAGATAGAAAACATGCGGCCCTGGGAAATCACAAGCCTTGGCGTCAAATCCTGTCCCCACCACTACCTCCCTAGGATCTTCGCCAAGTCCCCTTTCCTCTCTAGGGCCTAATTTCCTCCTCATAAAATGAGAGGCTAGCCTAAAAAGCAAAATTGGACAAATGGAAAAGGAAGTCCAAAAGATTACTGAAGAAAATACTTCCTTAAAAATTAGAATAGAGCAGTTGGAAACTAGTGACTTTATGAGAAGTCAAGACACTGTAAAACAAATCCAAAAGAATGAAAAATTAGAAAACAATGTGAAATATCTCATTGGAAAAACAACTGACCTGGAAAATAGATCCAGGAGAGAGAATTTTAAAAGTATTGGACTATCTGAAAGCCTAGACATCATCTTTCAAGAAATTATCAAGGAAAACTGCCCTGATATTTTAGAACCAGAAAGCAAAACAGAAATTGAAAGAATCCACTGATCTCCTCCTGAAAGAGATCCCCAAAGGAAAACTCCTAGGAATATTGTAGCCAAATTCCAGAGTTCCCAGGTCAAGGAGAAAATATTATAAGCAGCCAGAAAGAAACAATTCAAGTATTGTAGAAACACAATCAGGATAACACAAGATTTAGCAGCTTCTACATTAAGGGACCGCAGGGCATGGAATATAATATTCTGGAGGGTAAAGGAGATAGGATTACAACCAAGAATCACCTATCCAGCAAAACTGAGTATAATCCTGCAGGGGAAAAAATGGTCATTCAGTGAAATAGAGGACTTTCAAGCATTCTTGATGAAAAGACCAGAGCTAAATAGAAAATTTGACTTTCCAATACAAGACTCAAGTGGAACATGAAGAGGTAAACAGAAAAGAGAAATCATAAGAGACTTATTAAGGTTGAACTGTTTACATTCCTGCATGGAAAGATGATATTTGTAACTCATGAGACCTTTGTCAGTATTAGGGTAGTTGGAGGAAAAAAATTATATGTATGTATATAGATAGATAGATAGATAGATAGATAGATAGATAGATAGATGGCGCAGGGTGAGTTGAATATGAAGGGGTCATATCTGGAGAATAAAATTAAGGGGTGAGAAAGGATTATACTAGGAGAAGGAGAAAGGGAGAGGTAGAATGGGGTAAATTATCTTACAAAAAAACAGAAAAGAAAAGGCTCTTACAGTGGAGGGGAAACAGGGGAAGGTGAGAGGGAATGAGTGAATCTTATGCTCATAGGATTTAACTTAAGGAGGGAATAACATACACACTCAATTGGGTATGGAAATCTGTCTTATCCTACAGGAAAATAGGAGGGGAAGGGGACAAGAGAGTAGGGGGATGATAGAGAGGAGGGAAGATTGGGAAAGGGGGTAACCAGAAGCAAATACTTCTGAGGAAGGACAAGGTCAAACGAAAGAATAGAATAAATGAGGGGGTGGGATAGGATTAAGGGAAATAAGAGTTAGTTTTTCACAGCATGTCTACTATGGAAGTGTTTTGCATAACTACACATGTATAACCTATATTGAGTTGCTTGCCTTTTCAGTGAGGGTGGGTGGGGAGGGAGGAAGGGAGAAAATTTGGAACCCAAAGTTTTAAAAGCACATGTTTAAAAAAAATGTTTTCACATGCAACTGGGAAATAAGAAATACAGGAAATGGGTTACAGAAATCTATCCTGCCCTACAGGAAAATAGAAGGGGAAGGGGATAAGAAAAGGGGGGAAGAAATAGAAGGCAAGGCAGACTAGGGGAAGGGGTATTCAGAATGCATGCCATCTTGGGGTGGGGGGAGGGGTAAGATGGGGTGAAAATTTGGAACTCCAAATCTTGTGGAAGTAAATGTTGAAAACTAAAAAAAAAAAAAAGATCAGGAAGGAAAAAGAGGGAGTTTTCTGACAATCGCCTAATCTTTTTCAATAAAATATAAGCTAAAATTATTCCATATGTTAAACTTCCAAGAAATACATTCTTATTAAATATATGGCAAAAGATAATTGAACATTTTACCTTAAAAATAATAAAGAAATTAAGAAAAATGTAAAAAAGAAATAAAAATAAAATGAGAGGCTAGGTAGATAATCTCTGAGATTCTTTCTGTCCCTGACATTTCCTGTTCTCTGACGTATGGGGAAATGGTTTGCTCATGAGGATTTGGGCTTTAAAGCCCATCAAGTCCAACTTCCTCCCTTTCACAGCTGAGGAAACAGGCTCAGAGAAGTAAAGTGACCTGCCTGAGGTTACACAGTGAATCCAGGTCTCCTGACTCCCAGCTCATAACACTATGTGCTCAAGTTCCCCAGGGGGCCTCTCTGGCCAACAGGCTCCTTTTCCTTCCCTAGGGGCATGGGGTGAGAGGGAAGGACAGCAAAGATTCATGCCTCCTGGTGGGGTTTGATTCTCTGTCCTCCACAGATCTTCCCTCCTCCTTGGTCCCCCCTTCTCCCCTCTGCTAACTGGGGAGGGGGAGGAAGTGGGGAGGGGGAGGTCAGCCCCAGCAGTCTGGGGAAACCTGGCGTTTTTGTGCCGAGGCAGCACCAGACTTGCTCACTCAGCGAAACCAGAGACACTCACGGGCTCGTGAGCCAGCAGGCTTCAGCTCACTCTCCAGCAGAGCTGGGCAGCATGGGGAGAGCATGCAGAGACTTGGGGGGAGGGGAGGAGACTCCCGGGGCCCAGGGCCTGTCACCGCTGATCTGATAAGGGCCAGAACCCCCCTCCGCCCAGCCCCCCACAGAGCAGGGGATGCCAAGACCGCGCCGACCCTTCCCCCACAGGTGTTCTCTGTCCCGTCCTATGTGCTTCTGCCCTGTGATTCCTGAGGGCAAGAGGGGGCCTGGTCAGCCATACCAGCTCAGGGAGGCCACAATGAAAGGGCTGTTTCTGCGGAATACTGGGGAGCCAGGCTGGAGAGTTTCAACCGTTATGCCTTTTTCTGCTGTCCCCACCCTCCTCAGAAAACACCACCACCACCACCAATCTTTGGAGCAGAGAAAGGCCAGGATGGGATGCTGGAAAGAGCTGGAGTCGGGGGGAAGATGTGGGCTTTAGACCCACGGACTTGGAATGTCACCTTGGCCAAGTCCTTTTCTCACTCAGTTTCCTCTTCTGTAAAATGAGAAGGTTGTAGTGAAATGATAAATAAAACTAAAGAGAGGGAGACAGAGACAGAGAGAAGGTGAGAGAAGGGGGAGAGAGATAGAGAGAGGAGAGAAAGATGGGGAGGGAGAGAGGGAAGAGAGAGAAAGAGAAGGAGGAGGAAGAGGAGAGAGGGAGGGAGAGGAAGAGAGAGAGAGAAGAGAGAAGGAGAGAAAGAATGGGGAGGGAGAAAGGGAAGAGAGAGGAGGAGAAGAAAGGGAGGGAGGGAGGAAGAGAGAGAGAGAGAGAGAGAGAGAGAGAGAGAGAGAGAGAGAGAGAGAGAGAGAGAGAGAGGAGAGAGAGAGAGAGGAGAGAGAGAGAGAGAGAGTTGGACCAAAGGTCTTCTAAGGTCTTTCCAGCTAGATCATTTCCAAGCAAAGTAATTACACAGGAATTCGGGTGGCTGGACCAAAGCTGGCCAGCTGGGAGCGAGATGAGACCCATCAGCTAATGTATGAGCTCAGTCCAGGGGACTCCTGAATCCCAAACTGGCCAGGACTGGCTGAGAGGGTGAGCTGCCACTTGCTTTAACATCATAACCAGGAGAGGTCATCTGGTCAGGAGTTTCAGAGAAGGGAAGAACTAGTTGAGGCTCACCCAGCTAATTAAATTAAACAGATAATTAAACAGCAGAGCTAGGTCCTTGGGTTCTAGACCCAGAGTCCTTCCTCCTTTCCACCTTACCAACAAGGAGCCTGCAGGGAGGAGCTGGGGCCTAGAGAACCTCACAGGGGCCAATTGAGACCCAGGAAGCTCATACTGACCAGGAGTGCTCTAAGGCTGAAGGCCCAGCCACTCTGCTGGATAGAACTTTGGAATCCCACACTCAGCTGGCTGCCCCAGAAGCCCAGAGCTAGAAGGGGGCTCAATGACCACCTACTGCAGCCTTCATTTACAGATGAGGACACTGGGTCTCTGAGAGGGTGAGAGACTTGCCCAGTGGTAAGCATCAAAGGCAGGATTTGAACCCAGGTCTTCTGACTTCAAGGTTAGCACTGTGCGGGTGACTGTTTCCTTTGTGAATAAACTCGAAAATGTGTGCTCTTGTCACCTGGCACTTATGGGGCCCTGGGAAGAAGGGAAAGAAGTAAAAAACAGAATTGGGCAAAAGCCACTTGTAGTTACAGAAAAAAGTGACAAGAAAAAAAACTACAGGTTTTTAGCTGTGCTCTTCTCTCTCTTTTTACTCTTTTCTGGACAAATTTGCGAAAACTGAAAAGCATTATGGCACAAATCAGGGTTAGGGCACCATCTTATACCACATGCCACAGCAGACTCCAAATGGATGGGGGATCTGAATATTGAAGATCATGCCCTAGCAAATTTAGAAGACGACCCCATCGTGTACTTTTCACAGCAATGGTGAGGGGATGAATTCTTAACCAAAGGAGGACTAGAGGAAATTCCAAAAGATAAACAAGACAGTTTTGGTTACGTGTAAATGAAAAGTTTGGAATGAACAAAATTAACGCAACTAAGGTAGGAAGGGAAGAGGTAAATTAGAAAAAAAAAAAAAAACTTTGTATCAAACATCTCTGATCTCCAGGATATAACCAGGACAACCAACAGAAATACATGAGACCAAAAGCTATGCTCCAATGAGATAAATGGTCAAGGTATATGAATAGGGAGTTCTCAGTGCAAATTATTAGCAACCACATAAAAGAAGGCTCTGAACCACTACTAATAAGTGCAAATTAAAACAACTCCAAGGTTTCACTTTACACACAGCAAATGGGCAAAGATGATAAAAGACAGGAATAGTCAATGTTGGGCACGCTAGTACATAGTT